AAATATAAAGACCCAATTCTAAAGTGGGCATCTGAAATGAACAGACATTTCTCAGACAAAGAAATAAAAGCAGCAAGTAAATATATGCAAAAATGCTCCACATCACTGGTCATTCAAGAGATGCAGATGAAAACAACACTGAGATTTCACCTCACCCCACAAAGAATGGCTGCTATCAAGAAATCACACAATAACAAATGTTGGCATGGTTGTGGGGAGAAAGGAACCCTTCTCCATTGTTGGTGGGAGTGCAGACTGGTGCAACCACTATGGAAGTCAATATGGAGATACCTCAAAGAACTAGGATTAGAGGTTCCATTTGGCCCAGCCATCCCTCTGTTGGGTATCTTTCCAAAGGCAGTGAAAGAATCATACCACAGTGATATATGCGCACCCATGTTTATAGCGGCACAGTTTGTAATAGCTAAAATTTGAAAACAGCCCATCTGCCCATCAATTGGAAACTGGATAAAGAAGATGTGGTGTTTCTACAAAATGGAATACTACTCAGCCATAAAGAATGAGAAAGTAGATTCATTCATAGTTAAATGGGTATATTTTGAGGATATACTTCTTAGTGAAATAAATAAGGCACACATATGCAAATACCAAATAGTATCTCTGGTGTGTAAAACTATAATAGTACTCAAGATCCTAATGGGACACTTTGCAATTAGGAAGAAAAGGACCAAAGGTGTAGGGACAGTGAGGAGGATAGGGAAGGGGGAATAAGGGAAAAGGAAAAAAATATGAGAAAATGTAAAAATGGAATTAAAGTGTTTGAAGGTGACGGGGGGAGGAGGGGGTGAAGGGAGGGTGGGGACAAGGGGAAAAAATAAGAACCAAGACCTGGCATGTAAAAGTACAAGATCCCAGTAATGAATGTAACTGTACTGTCTACCTAGAATGACCAATAAATTAAATTTTAAAAAAATATACAAGCATCAAAAGACACTGTTCTAACTTGAGATCTACTTTTCAAGTTGACAGCCATCTGAAAAATAAGACTCCAGAAAAGACAGAGAATAGATCCAGGTTTCAGGGGCACTAAAGGGAACCAAGTGAAACATCAAAGGCTATCTTCACTTTACTCACAATTAGCTCTGATGCTCATCCCACTTGGAATGTATGTATATAAATCTACTAGATAAACCACTGCCAAATCCATAGTTTTGTTTCTCCAATACACTTGACAGAAAAAAGAAAAGTTAAGAATACCATGTCAGCAGACCTTGCATCTCCTTATTTAAGCTTTAATAACTTGCAAATAGTTGAAAAAGCACTGAAATAACTTAAGTGAATGATACAGAAAAATATTTTATTAAATCTACCGCTATGTTTAAATACATAATTTTTCAGAATTTCAAACTGGCAGAAATTCAAGTCATTTTCCAATTCTATGGCTAAATAATAAAATTTTCTATCTACCTCTTCCTCTGCCACCCTGGCTCCAAGTCTGTTCATCTAGTTATATACCTTGTCCTGATTCTACTTCAGATTTCCTTTCCTGGCCCAACATTACTTGTCAAATACTTTAACCCATGTCCCAAAGAGAAGTCCAGCTCTTGTCTCTGAAATGAACCCCTTCACTATAGACTTAGAACACACATATACATGGGTTCTTTCAAGATTATGGAAGTTCCAGTAATGACTATAGATATTAAATGGTTCCTACAACCTTCATTTACATCTATAAGAGGCAGCTTGTAGACACTCATCTCTAAAGATGCTAATGCCACCAGCCAGGAATGGGTTCAGCGGCACCATGCCTGCCTGGAAAGTACTAAGTCCTGAGTTCGATCCCCAGTACCAAAAAGGAAAAAAAAAAAGATGTTAATGCCTCAGAAGTATTTCCAGCAAATGAAGCTAGAAGCATCTCCTCTTCATTTCTATCTCCTTTTTTCCTGTATTTCTCTCAAATGGCTCCAGTCATGTCCATCTTTACTTGTTGCCAGTTTCTGAGCTATTAGAGTACAGCAAAGTTAAACTATTCCTAAATGGGAAAAGAGGACACTAGTCAAAAACTTGGGGATCCATGATTCGTCAACCTTCAACCACTTGGCTCTAAAAATATGTAGGAAGAGACTAATTGAAAAATGGGGGTGAAAAATAAAGGAAGAAAAATGAGGTTAAGTGGGCCCAGGTCTGGCCACACTGTAGTCCTCATGAAGCCCTGAGCAGCACAGTACAACAATACACTTTAGTGCCCATCTATTAACTGAACTCCTGTCAATTGTTTGATGTATTATTAGACAACAAACCTCCTGGTTAGACAACTGAAGTGCGAAGACATTCTTATATTCTCCAGTTGTGTACCTGAATTTAAACTCCTGCTTTGATTCTCAGGTCTAAATGAAATGGCCAAAAAAAGAATAGGGAAAAATAACTTTCATGTCTACCACAGAAAAAGCGATCAACACAGACCTTGTACACTAAGAAAATGCAATTAACTAGAGGTAGAGGAATTACATTTTGAAAAAACTAATAAACACCTTCAAAATTTTAAATATCTGTGACTCAAAATAATTATATTCAGGGTGTTAGAAAGCTGGTGAATCAAGGAGGAATGTACTTACGTCACTTGAAGAGACTGTTCCTGTTTCAACAGCAACACCGCTACCACGCAGTTTCTATTATGAAATAAATGACTTATTACTTAGTTTTGTTTTAAACTTTATTCTAGCTTACTAGCTTACAAAGGGATTTTATTATTTTCTGTAATCCTACTTTATAAAAAGCATGAAAATGATATAAAATATTCTAAATATTCTAAATATTATACTCTTCCAGATGTATTGTTTAATACATCTTAATATTTTAAACAATACATCAGTAAAACTGGAATAATCAATCTGAATGTTAAGCTCCACTAAATTTCTAAGTGAAGCTAACAAAAATCTCCATCTCAAGATTTACTTACTGAATTGTTTTCCTAGTAAGATGACTGCCTTACACTGAACTAGCTACACTGTATTCTGTGGTAAAGTTTTTCGAAAGGATGACTGATGACAGGAAGATATTACGAGACTCAAAATTAGTAAAGTAGAAGAAAAAAGAGGTAATGAATTTCTGAAAGGAAATATTTTCTTTTATTCAGTAACTGACAACTAGATATCTACCAAAAAGTTGCATTATAAAGTAAAAGAACAAAACATCCAAACTTGCAACTAACTTGGACTTTTTCAAAGTTTAGTTCTCCTAGAATCATGAAAATATAGCCATTTTTATGAGAGTTAAAAGACTTATGGTAGAGAAAAATAGCACTACTGCATGACACATATAGCACTAATATATATTTGAGCAAGACAGAAAATAATCCTGTTACTTTCTTTAAACAAGAAGTCCTCAATCTAAGCCTCATAAAAAGCTATGAAATAAGTATCTGCCCACAGCAAGATAGACAGTATGTACAGAGCTACAAAGAAGTAGTTCTCAGATTGAGAAGCAAAGTCAGACTACGTGGTGCCCTGAAAAATTACCATCGTTGGATTTGCAAAGCAGAAATGCCAAACCCAACTGAAAGCCAAAGATTAGGACAGGAAAAGTATATAAGAAAGATACAGAAAAGATCTTGAAGAGCATTTCTCTAAAAGAAGAAGCTCGATTCTAATAAAAACTGTTCTAGACATTGAAGCATTTTCTTTTTTTTTTTTTTTTTTTTTTTTTTTTTTTTTTTTTGGTACCAGGGATCGAACTCAGGTCCTTGCGCTTGCAAGGCAGGCCACTGAAACGCTGAACTAAATCCCCGGCCCCTTGAAGTATTTTCTTACACTAGTGATGAAGGAAATAATTTCCACCAGTTGTTGGATATGACTGCAGTCATGTAACCATTAAATCGACATTAGTTATTTCTGAGTGATAAATCATATGCAAAACACTATACAAATGATATTGCTAAGAGCACAAGACTAAGGTAAAACAGCCTAAAAAGCCAATGGCAAACTATAATAGTATACTTTTCCCTATCAATTTTCACTGTATAAACTTAGCTACAATATAGTCTTGTAAGAAAGCTTACATGAGAGCAGAATGACTTTATTTAAAAGGAGAAATAATTTGAAAACCAAAAACAAAGGGGAAGGTGTATTGCCTACTTAAGTATTCTGATTCCAATGATACACATTTAGAATGAATCTCACTTTCACATACCTACTTTTTATGTTTTAAATACTTTGTTTTTAAAATACCCTCACAAATTCCATAAAATCTTCAAACTGGTGACACTTATAAACATACTTTATAGAACTAAGCCCACAGAAGGGTTAAAGTTGATACAATGGGCATCAAAAAGAGTTTATTTTGTTCAAGACACTCTAAAATATCTTTATCCAAACATAAAAGTTAAGAAGCCCAGGAGGAGACAAGTAATACGACAAAAAATAAATCTAACTAAAACATCATGGTATTGCTCTTATGCCTCAAATTAAAATCTATTAAAATAATAGGGTCACCAGAAGACTAAATTACAACTTTCCAAAATTTTACTTTAAAAAGAGATTTGCTAGTCTAAAGATTACAATATGATATCTTTCAACAGTATTCTCCTAGTTTCATTCCCCTATACCACCCACCTCCATACCAAAATCTTTTTCTCTTCTACCTTTTCTTCCCCAGAGTACTCCTCTCCAACTCACTTTTACTATTGTCTTCTTCTGAGCATCATGCCCACCAAACATTACCCATACCACCTAATAGTCACTGCAAGCCAAAAAGAAACAGTCTAAAAAGCCACCATAACTGTCCTGTATTTTGCCCCATTCGGGGGAACCAAAGAGATAAACACAGAAAACTTGTCACTTTTGTAGTCATGACATAAACTTTCTTCAGCCATGGAGTAGAGCTCAACAGACCTCAAGCAACCAAGGTATCAATAAGCAGGACTCATATCTGACATTGGGCATAACTGTCCAATCCCACAGCCACACTGTGATATCCTAAGAATGGGCCATTATGTAAACAGAACCATCTCGCAGCTGGACTGGGAAGCTCCAGACTTACCCAGACACACCTGCAAGCCAGATACAGACTGTTGGCTAAGACAAGGACAAGCAGATAGAATAACGAGCAATATAATGTGCTGTTCACAGTTTGAAGCTCCCCATTGGCACTCAGAGCCAGTTTGTTTATTGATGTAACCAGTCAGACAGTTTAGCCTGGTTATGTCATCTAAAGGGCACAGCAAAAAGACCGAAAAAAAAAAAGGTCAGATTTAGCTCAGTGGTGCCACCACCTATCTCCTGCCTGGCAAGCACAAGGTCCTAAATTCAATCCCTAGTACAAAAAAGGAAAAAAAATTAATAAATAAAGAACAAAGGGCATAAAAGACTTCACTACAAACATTCAAAGAGCTGTCCCAAAACCAAGATTTCTTGCACAAATCCCAGTGGTTTGAAATCCCGAGGTAGAAGTGTGAGCTGCACCTGGAAGTCTCTTGGCCGGGAGCTTCCCTGCACGCTCTCTCCTGCTGCACTATTCGTTTCCTTTATGAGGAAGAGCCCCACATGAGTTGCGAAGGTACTTTCAGTTCTCCAAGCTGTGTAATCGTGCAACTACCTAGAAGGAAGATATACTCCCTGACCACAGGAAATCAAGGGTGGGAAACAACAGTGATAGAAAAGACAGAAAGGTTTAAAGACAGAAAGGTTTGAACCAAACACAGGTAAAGAAAGAAAGAGTGAAGCATGCTACCGTAACCATGAGTAGTTTGACTTACTTAGTAAGCATAACATTTTAATGTTGCATTATTTTAATAAAATGCTTTTTATAATTTAACATGTTTACTATAAATAAAAAGAGAATATGTTATATTTCTTTCAGAGATACTAAAAGAACTTGTTACCTGTGAACTTAGTTGAGTTTTTATCCAGTTGAAATAGTAATTTAAGTCACTGCCCTCCATTAGTTCCTTTCCCCAAGCTGCTAACTTGGCAATAATTCTTGCTGCCTGGAAATTAATAAGAAATACATTTTAAAACCATACTGATTCTGAGAATCCTACCATATACCTTAAGAGCCAGAACTTATAACCACTTTGATGTATTATTTTTGTAATATTAAATAGCTACAAAAATGTCTATAATTCACTTTTCATAATTTATTCTTAAATATAAACATTCAAAATATATTTTTAAATATTTCCGTTAAAGTGCACTAAAATTAGCCATGTTTTAAGAATTTCAGGACTTTCACCAGATTTCTTTTTCATTTCAAAACTAAGATTCAGGACTCATTTTAAGACCAGCAAAAAAACTTTCAGAAAATAAACAACTTCCTTAAAAGGGGTCCTGCAAGGAACTCAGAGGCTGAAAATATTATCAGCAGTGCATGCAGAAACAAAAAGAAAAAGACAAGGAACAAGAGACCTCACATTTGTATTCCTAGCTTAAGCTCCTTAGCACAAGATACTCCACAACAATCTGGTCCTCAAAATTGCTAAAAGACTGGCCAAAAGGAATTTAAATCGTCAAGAAGTTAACTTGGGTTCAGCAGTACACTTAATATTAATAAACTCTGTCCTGACTGTATGTTTGTTCTTTAATATATTTGTCAATTTTACTGTAACACTGGGAAGCTATTTAACCTGGACATCCAGACAGTGAAACAAGTCTTTGTAATTTTAAAGAAGAAAATGTTACTGATTTTAAAAATTGATTCCTAAAATGTTCTTTCTTTCACGAATCCTTTTTTTAATAAATATTTAATAATATACTACACAATATCTGAATATACTCGTGAATAACTATAAGGTATACGTGAAGAAGAGAGAGAGAATACACATGTGCAAAAATGTTTTACTGACAGTAATCCTTAATTTGAAAAACTGAAAGTCTGGACTGAAATGAGCAGCCTCCAGAGCTCCTGCCTGCCCAGATGCGACCCACTCCACACTGGAAAAGGAGAACACTCTGTACACAAAGGTTTACTTGCACAATTTTCCTCTAATCCCTTAAGAACCCATAAAAGATTCTTCAGTGTTAGACCTGCCAAACATAGCTCTTCAAACTAAATTTAAAACAGGAGGGTTTTAAGATATTAAAAAGCAATTAATTAAAATCAAATGAAACAATAACTGCTTCAAAGCAAAATTTAATTTCTACATAGAAAAATGTAGTTAATCCTGTTATAAACAAATTTGAGCCATTTGCACATGTGAATTCACCACAAAATTTAATGTTAATGAACTCATCCAGTAATCTACTGTGATGGTTGAGTGACTGTGTCAACTTGAGAAGTTTGGATAAGAGAAGCTTAGCCAAATTGGCTCAGCAATTCCACACCTAGGGCATGGGAGATTCACCCCAGGACTGCTCCTCACCTGACTGCTATAAAGAGGAAATGAGGAAGGTCGAGTTCATCCGGTTCCTCTGGAGGAGCTCCAGCCTGCCTTCCAGCGAAGACCCTTCAGCCTTCCAGCACAGACCCATCGGCCTCCTGACACAGAACCCCCCAGCACACTATTTTGACTGAATCCTTCAGTCTCCAATGTGCAGAGTGACCCTTCTGGACTCCTCCTGATCTGACCCTACAGGTGACTATTATAAGCTAATCTTGTAAATTCTTGTGTGTGTGTGTGTGTGTGTGTGTGTATACACACACATACATACATACATATACATATATATATTGTGTTCTATCAGTTTCTCTAGTAAATACTGGCTGATACATCCACAAAACTTCCCCAGCCCTCTACATAACTTTTAACTGCCTCAGAGAAACCCTATCTTCTTACAACTGTCCAATGTTCCCTTTTCTGCAGAACATCATTAAGGAAAGCTAATGTCATAGCAGTTATTCCTCTACAAATAAGAAGCTTACCAAGTCATAAACAGCCCAGATTTGTATCTGTCAATTTAAAAATAACAATTTTTTAAAATTCCCTTCACACACACACACACACACACACACACACACACACAGTGGATTTTCAAACAATATAATATAAAGTTTACTATATAGGGACCAGGGATTTAGCTCAGTGGTGCCTCTGACTGCCTCTCTAGTGCAAGATCCTGAGTTCAACCCCTGGTTCCAAAAATAAATAAATAAATAAAGTTTACCATATGAACAGTAAAGGGATCTTGGCGATTCAGCATTGGCAGAAAGTAGGGCCAGGCAGTGTTCTTGCTACGTTTTGCATAGTCAAAGAAAATACTGACACGTTGGTGATTTTCCTAAAACAAAAAAGAAATTATATCACTAATCTAAATGAATTTTGCTAAAGAAAGTAACAACTGCTTTTTAACAGTTCATTTTATATTTCATCCATGTTCTTTTTCTATTATGTATATAATTTGTGTTCTGTCATTATTATTACACGAAATGGTGATAGGTATATGTATTTTACAAATAAAATCACCATTAATAATTATGATTACTTTAAATCACAAGGTGTGGAAAGAAAAGTTATATTTTTTCTCAGCCTATACCTCTGACCTAACATTATCTCTACAGTTCTACCAACAACAAAGTACATATACCTACAGCTTCAAAAAAAAAAAGTACATACCTATAAATCAACCTAACCAAGGAGGTAAAAGACCTTGAGGAAACTAAAGAGGCCATTAGAAAATGGAAAGATATATCCTCTTCCTGCATAGGTAGAATTAGTATCATTAAATGATCAAATCACCCAAAGAGATAATAGATGTAACACAATCCCTACTAAAATAACAGCAACATTCTTTACAGACCTAGAAGAAACAACCTTAAATTTATATAGAACCAGAATAGACAAAGAAAACTTAAGCAATAAGAAGAGCAACAAGGAAAACATCACAATTCTTGATTTTAAGTTAACTACAAACCTACAGTAACAAAAAGAGCATGGTACTGGCGGAAAAATAGACATGAAGACTAATAAGCAACAACCCCATGTACCTTCAATCACCGGATTTTTTTTTACAAAGAGGCCAAAAACATTCAGTGGAGAGAAAATAAACTCTTTAACAAATGGTGATGGGAAAACTGATTACCCATGTGCAGAAGAATGAAACTAGACAGATACCTCTCACCCTACACTTAAATCAAAATAGATCAAAGATGTCAGTATAAAAACAGAAATTTTGAAACTTGTGGAAGATAACATAGGAGCAACTCCTGAAGCAACAGGCAAGCAAGGACTTTCTAAACAGATCTCTGGTAGCACATAAAATAATACCAAGAGTAAACAAATGAGCCTAACACAAATTAGAAAGCTTCTGCACAGTAAAAGAAACAAAGTGAAGAGACAACTCTCAAAATGAGGAAAAAAATTTTCTAGCTACTCTTCTGAGAAAGGACTAATATCTAGAATATATAAAGAACTCAAAAATATAAACCCAAAAAAATCAACAACCTAGTCAAAAAATGAGCAAATGAATAAGGTTCAAATGGAATAATTGAGAGGGTGAAACAGAAAGAAAATGGCTAAAGGAGAAGTGGGAAGGGGAGGGGAAAGGAAATAAGGGAACTGAAAAAATGGAAACAAAGTCTTTGTAAATAGGGAAGGGTGAGGGGGGTGAAGGGAGGACAGGGGTATGGAGAAAAAACAAGAACCAAGATGAATCATGTAAAGGTACAAGATCCCAATGATAAATGTAACTGTACTGTTTGCTTTAAATGTACCAATAAACTTAATGGGGGAAAAAAAAAAGAATCCTAGCCAGGCAGGGCCTGGGCCCTCCTGGCCTACAACTCAAGGATTTAAAAAAAATAATAATAAGTAAATGAACTAAATAGGCACTTCTCAAGAGAAGTACAAATGGCCAATAAATACATGAAAAAAAATGTTCCCCTCTGGCCACTAGGGAAATGCTTATCAAAACAACTCCAAGATTCCCTCTTATTACTGTCAGAATGGCTATCATCAAAATCACACAAAAACACAACAAATACGGGACAGGGATTTGGCTCAGTGGTTCCACCACCTGCCTCACAAGCACAGGGGCCTGAGTTCAATCACCAGTACAAAAAAAAAAAAAAAAAATGGGCTCAAAACTTAAAACTGAAGCTTGGCACAGTGGCACCCTCCTCTAGTCTCAGCTACTCAAGAGGCTGATGCAAGAGGGTCTCTTGTGCTAAAGAGTACAGGCCAGCCAGGGTAACATAAACTCCATCAAAAAAAGAAAAAAAGAGGTAGGGATTTTGCTCAGTGGCACCACACTGGCCTTGCAAGCACAAGGTCCTGAGTTTGATCCCAGGTACTGAAAAAAAATAGATGATAGATAGATAGATAGATAGATAGATAGATAGATAGATAGATAGAGATAGATAGATAGATAGATAGAGATAGATATAGAGGGGGAGGCTGGAGGATGCACAGCTCAGTGGTAGAGCACTTAGCATGCATAAGGTCCTAAATTCAATCTCCAGCACTGTAAAATAAATAAATCAAAATTATATGGTACTCAAGAGAGAACAAAGTTGAATGTCAAAGAACTGTGAACACTAATAATTCTATGCCAATGAAATTATCCTACAAATTTACAGAATACAGAGAATTAACACAAAATTTAGTGAATACTATACTCTTCCTAAGGAAGCTATTGGCTTCATCCAATTAAGAAACCCTGGAAAACTTTAGCAAAAGTCTTGTGGTAAAAATCCAATATATCAAAATAAAATTAATATATAAATGTTCTGACAAAGCAAAAAATATATAATTCTAGAACAAAAGAAAAAAAAGAGGAAATAGAATAAGCTCACTAACTGTTGCAAATCAAAGACATTATTGGCCAGGCTTGGTGGCACACACCTGTAATCCCAGCACTCTGGAGGCTGAAGTAGGAGGATCGCTCTGAGTTCAAGACCAGCCTGGACTACATAGTGAGTTCCAGGTCAGTCTCAACTACATAGTGAGACCCTGTCTCAAAAAACACCACAAACACAAAATAAACAAAAAAAAACACATTATTAAAAATGGCAAGAACTGAGGGTAAATGCTATGGCTTGCATGTAGATGTCCCTACCCCGCAAGCCTCACGTGATCATAGGTGGAGCTTTTTCAGAAGTGGCTGGATCCAGAGTGTGGTGCTGGGATTGATTCATGGTGCAATGCTAGGATCAAAGGCACTAGGATTAAGAGTGAGCGCGACCTGCCCTAAGTAGTCTGGATAAGATAAAAGGGGCATAAAGACATTCTTAAGGTCCTTGTTGCTTTTGCTGTCTTTGCCTGCAATGAACTATTTCTCCTCTGTGATGTCCCTCTGCCACTGCCTTGTGGCCACTACCGACTGAAATAAACCTCTACAAACTGTAAGCCAAATAAACCTTTCCTCTCTTAACCTGTGGGTGTCAGGTATTTTGTCTCAGTGATAAGAAAAGTAACTAAGAGTAAAATTTAGGAGTGGAACACATGCTTAGCATGTGTAAGACACGTTCAATCCTAGCACCAAAACAAATTTTTAATCAAATTACTAATAAAACAGGAACTAGCCGGGCGTGGTGGTACATGCCTGTAATCCCAGCACTTGGGAGGCTGAGGCAGGAGGATCGCTGTGAGTTCGAGACCAACCTGGGCTACATAGAAAGTTCCAGGTCAGTCTCAACTACATAGTGAGACCCTGTCTCAAAAAGCCAAAAAAATAAGCAAATAAATAAATAAAACAGGAACTAACAAACATTCCTAAAGACACAAACACATACTTAAGCAAATGAAGTGATATTTCTTGTTCTTGGATAGAAAAATCAGTATCATAACAAAGTCATTTTTCCTTAAATTAATTTACAAATTTTAAAATGCCAACAAACTACTGTATAGATCCAGATAAGCTCATGCTCAAGTTGCTACAAAAAAAGGCTAGGAAAACAATGAAGCTATAAAGGGAGCCAGGCACAGAATCCTCTATAATTAAACCTGGGTGGTACTGGGGCATGATGACACAGGCATTCCACAAGAACAAGACAGAACAGTGAGGGGCAAACCTTTGAGAGCATTCAGTGGTAACAAACAGCCCACTGCATGCCTTAGGTTCACCACTACTGGTACAGAAGTTTCAAATAAAACCTAGATACAGGGGAGGAAAATGTCAAAGGCAGCACTGCACCACCATGAGAAAGACAAACATTTTAATAAAACAGTGTTCGGGACAACTGAATGGTCATTTGGAAAAAAATGCAAAATTACCTAACACCACACACAAGAGCAACTCTAAATGAATCAAATATCCAAATGCAAAAAAAAAAATGAAACTATGTAAATATTAAAAGAAAGCATAGATGAATTTCACAATAATTAGCTATAAAGAAAAACTTCTCGCAGGAAGCTGAGGAAGGAGGATCACCAAGAGTTCAAGGCCAATCTGTGTCAAAAAGTGAGGTTCAAGGCCAGCCTGAACTACAAAGCAAGACCCTGTCTCAAAAAGCAAAGAAAACTTTCTATGACTAAAAAATCCAGCCAAAAATTTTGATAAATTAGACTAATAAAATTTAATTTTGGCATTCAAAAAATACCATAAGCAAAATGAAAAAGGAAATAAACCTGGAAAAAATGTGTTCTACACATTACAGATGTATCCCTCTATATAAAGAATTCTCAAAAATTGGCCAGGGACGTCAGTGGCGCCATGCCTACCTGGTAAGTGCAAGGTCCCGAGTTTGATGCCCAGTACCACAAAAAAAAAATTAAGGTGTAAGTTTGGGCATGTGAATCAATGATAGACTACTTGCCTAACTGCACAAAACCCAAAATTCAATCCCCAGTATCACAAAAAATAAATAAACAAAAATTTACTGCAGGGTGAAAAACAATCTAAACCCTGACAGAAAAAGCAAAAACAAAATGGGAAAAGACATAAATAATTCCAGGGCAGGGGAGGGAGGATATAAAGGTACCTTTTTTTTTTTTTTTTTTTTTT